TGAGGTTTTGAGGCAGTGTGTTAATTGGGAATGGGGAGGATTGAAGTGAAACATTGAGTTAGTATGTTGAATGGGAGCGTGGAGTTGAATGGAGTTGAATGTTGAATAGTTAAAATCTTTTCACCTCCACAAGACTGCAGAATAAGCACAGTAAGACGGTGCAGCTTAATCCTGAAAGCTCACGACTGCACAATACAACAATTTCGACTTCCTTCTCCTCTTAGAGTGGTAGAACTCTATACACAGTAAGATATACACATTTACCGTTAATTTGACAGATTAACGTGGAGTTGCAGCAAAAAACTCGTTAATTAAAACTTTCACTCACCTTGACCTTTCCCAAAGGAGTGTGGAAAAGTGTATGACGAAGTACTGTTATATCAAACTAAAATTTGTGGTGCCTTTTAGTTCATTATAACTATAGTTTCCGGTGTGCTAAGTAAAAGAGAAGCACACATGGCTTTGGAGGGTTTATTCTGTGCATTTCACAAGGCAATAAATGTGAGGTGCAATGGCTTCAGTAGTGTTTCATCAATAAAAGGACATGCCACACGTACCTTTGTTTGCTTGTACAAGTCCGGGTTTATAATTTTAGCCCACCAAGTTGAATGTTTACCTTGAAAATGAATTGCATAACTCCAATACCATGGATAAATTCCCATACCTGCCAATGTTTCTGCTGAAGGAGGAGTGAGTGAACGAGTTTAGTTTTACACCACTATCAGCAATATTGCAGCTATATGGCCGCACTTTGTAAATAATTGAGTCTGGACCAGATTACAGTAAACTGCAGTGCCTTAAGCGCCTTGATTCCCATTCCCAAACTTACTGGTCCTGTTTGGGTTAACAACCCTGGTCAACAGGCAGTGGAGTTAATAAGAAACAAAGGCAGTAACAAATGGTTTATTTCTGAACATGAATCTCCACATAATCATGAAATATATTCATCATATTCATGCATCATATGCATTGATGAACGTACACATATGACCTCGGTCTGCATTTTATCTTTCATGAAGGCCCATCGCAGAAATATTGTCTGCAAATAACTTCTATCACAACAAAACAATGTAGGTGAAAAAAGGTTTTTCTAAAACCCATATTAAAGCAAAAAAGGAAAATATACTCCCCATCAAAAGTTTAGACTCACTAGTGTAAAGGTAGCCATTTACTTAAGTCAACAGTTTTAAAATACATTTTCCAAAACTTTCCATTCTGTTTAAAGGTACTGTTTAATTGTAAAATTGACGAATTCGTTACAAAACTTTACACCAAAACGCAGCTGTCCACATGCATGATATTTGCACATGCTTTACAGCAATTCATGCATGATCCTCGAGCAATTCATCTGCATGAGGTTTGCAGTTGGTTCCCCCAAGTTAGTGGAGAAGTTCATCTTTGATGTAACCTTACATATATACATAACATATAGTGAGTGCTTTAAGTGAGTTTAAACTTTTGATGGGTAGTATCGAACAAACTTGATTCACAAAATGCACCTGCAGATTATGATATTGAAAAGAATATAGTTAATCTCTCTAAATAGATAGGGATCAAACTTTCAAATACAAAAGCTCATTTTCTATCTGTTGGTGAAACAAGATTCACCCAACAAGAATGATGAGAAGTATTCCAGTTGGCACACTTGAAATTCAAAGGTACACTTATAATTCTAAAAGAGTACCTTATGGCACATTTGAAACAAAAACATGTCTAGCTATGTAATTGATAACGAGGCTATAGGGGTTACACCACTATACTCAAGTACATATGATACACACCAAAAATAATTATGAATCATGACACTGACTTTTTGACTTCACAAATGTTTCACTGTTCAACTGTGTGAGTATGTTTGGCTTGAAGACTGAACCCTGCATCATTTACCATATTTTGTCCCTTCTGTGTACTGTAAACCATCAATTAAGAATGAAATAATGAAATTGGAAATTTTAACTATAAATTGTATATGTATATACTTATCCTATCTCACGCGATGGATTCCCACCCGACCTTCCCCACATCACAGATTACTTAGGGCTCCAAGACGAGAATGACGTCAGTGGGACGTCACATGAACATCTGAGCGCTTAGCACGCTTTACAGAGATGATTGACAGGTCCAGCTATAGGAGCGGGGGAAGGGTCAGGTGGGAGAGAGGCCAGAAGATTTGATTCAACTTAGCCTACAGCACGTTTCCATGCCATGGTCGATGTAGAGACAGAAGTGCATACCGTGAGATAGGATAAATTTAAAAATTATTCAATCAGAAAAATTTACATCCCCAAAATGATTTAGTCTGTACAATCATAAAGCATTAATGCTTAAATATCCTTAGTTAGCTAATTATGAAGTCCACCTTCTCCTAATAACACACTATGAAGCCCATATCTGATGTCCCCCGCCACGATGTTGTTGGAATATTGCTTAAGCGGCGTAAAACTAAACTCATTCACTCCCGAACAACACATGAGTGATTTCATAAAATCAGTGTCATTACAATGTTTGGCCTGTGTGGTTGTACTTTACACTGTTCATGAGGCAAAGGTCATTGCTTGGACGAAACTGGAACATTGCCTCCAACAGCATTTACTGGCTCATTCCAACAGAAACAGGTGCCACGTATTTCAAAATGAGGGATGTCATATATTGAGTTAAGTGATGCCATATATCAAGATGAATGATGCCATATACAATCAGGCAGATGCCATGTCAAACGAGTGATGCCATATGTACAGAGGAATGCTGAATACCAACTTTCTGAAAAACAATTTTCTTTATATGTACCATTGATGTGAGTTACCATTATAAGAGTCAGAGTTGGTCATGATAAGAATGAAGCAACACAGAGGGGATGATCTAACCTCACAAAGTGAACAAACACATGATAGAGGGACACATGTTGTTTGGCACGTACATGTAAGCATCTTCAATAAGGGATCTGGGGTACTAGGTGTTGAAAGGAGTGTGTGCACCACCTTCACTTACCTCTTGATCCACCACTGCCGCAAACATGCTTACACAAGCTGGTATCGCACATTCTTATCAACATTCATGACTTAAATCAGCTAACCCTATAATATTGGAATGTGAGGGTAAAATATCTGGAAAATATTATTCTTAAAGACAAGCACAACAGGTTTTACACTAGGCAACACATCAACATACTGAGATTACAATCAGTCAAACCTATTTGATATTTGATTCAGACCAGCTAAAGGACCGTTCACAATTCATGGGGGTGGAGGGAAGTGTGCTTGTGCGTGTGCGTGCGTCTGTCACCCATTTTGTTCTGGCGAGGTAGTGGGTCATCAATAATGTATACATTGTACATGTTTCTCCATAAAATCATCATCACCTCCCCTGGCCATAAATTACGAACAGACCCTAACCAAAATATCAATAAACATGGAAATGAAAAAGCATCTGCCCTCCAAAACAAATGTGTGATCTTGGACCTGAAAGACGGTCTGTACCAAAAACTTCCATGCAATGACACAATTATTAGTGAATCTCAGACCAACAACAAATTTAGTACCTTAACAAAAGAACAACACCATCTCTATAATCACATAAAATATGACCCAAAAGTAGGGGATATTGTATGAATCCAACTATACCGTATGCATGTGTTTATGAATCACATCTCACTCATCAGCATCACCCATCACAAACACTTGCACAGACAAGTCAACTGTCCCCAGGGAATCATGTCACACATAATCTAGTAAGGTAGATGGGTCTACTGGGTATTTTAACCAAGGAACACACCTTTTAGAAGAATAATTCAGCACATATAATTACAAATAATGATGTGTCGATGTCGAGTGACTTCTCATTAATCTGTCCACATTAGTGGTGGTCTGATTAATTGAAATAATCGAAGATTGGTCGCAGTGACTAAACGACCCTGCAATCGATCATGTTTTCTCACAATCGAACACAAACAATTCTGGAACACTTGTTTTCATCAACAATATTTTTCACAAGGTTGGTTTTGTCTGTTACATTTCATAAGCACTACAGGCTTGTTCCAAGTCATGATTGAATTTATCTTAAAGACACCAAGAAATTTATGTTCCTAACATACTAGTCATCCTTTAAAGATGTGAAATTTTGCCAACCCTCCCCCCCCTCCCAAAAAAAAATCAAAAAAAATAACTACATGTTATTTTTTTATCTTTCCTTATTTTTTTGTGCATTAACAAATTTCATAAATGATGCTAACTAATTATTTTCGATGACTGATCGGTTGTAAGGAACCAATCATCAATTATGAGATTTTAACCAATTCCCAACACTAGTCCACAGCCTGCTTCACGTGTGTCACAGATCACATGTCTGTAGAGCAACAAAAGCCTCTATGGGTGAGATGGAGGACTTGGAAAAGAAGGCGACTCACAAGAAAGTTCATGTTTACTTGATGCCTAAGTGAGTGGGTGAATATTGCTGGATGGCCATTGCAATAATTTTGCAGCTATTTGCGGCGAAGATGTGCCTACATTCAAACAGTAAATGATGATCTTTTGGGATGCCAAAATACCCAATAAAAAATTAATATTACATAATCACCAGTGTCTTGAGTAGTTACTTTTGACTTTTAATACTGTAACTCTCTCTGATATCTCTTTCATGGCCAGATGAATATATAGTCCGGGTTCAAAGAAGTCATTGATAACAAAACAATAACCAACTGTGAGCATAACTACTTCAAATGAAATTTTTTTCTTTATGGAAATGCCGCCTCCGTGGTGTAGTGGTTAGAGCGTCCGCCCGGAGAGACCGGAAGGTCGCGGGTTTGATACCTGACCACATCATAGCAAAAGACGTTAAAATATGGTACTTGTTGGTCCCTGCCTGGCGCTCGGCATTAATGGGTACAACAAGGACTGGTCGGCTCGGAGTCAGTATAAAATGTCTGAGTGGGGTATTCATGCTTCACTGCGGCATGGTATCTCAGTGGGCTAGCACTATAAAACCAGCTTAAGTCTGGGCTAGTACAAGCAGCTGCACATACACATACACACGCATGCACGTCGTCATATGAGCGAAATATTCTCCAGCACGACGTAAAACCCAATTTCACCTCACCTCACCTTTATGGAAATGTTTCGTTGTTGCTAAATGTTGCACTGAGATATATTCCAGCTAAACGACAACAGTCATAAATACTCAAGTCTATATCACACAATCAAGTAATCGGTCTAGACAACAAGTGCAAGATGACATTCATCAAGCAAGTCAGCAAGCCTGACCCCACAAATTCTGTCAAACATTTCATGCAATAAGCGTGGGTTGCTTAAGACCACTCGAAAAATGAAACAAATATACATTTCATAATTACGTTTTCATTTAGCACGTAGGCAACGAGACAACATTGGTCTATCCAAAATGTTAAAAAAGAATAGGTGACACTGAAAACCAAAATCCCCAATCCAACACAATGCTGCAGTTTGTTGTGGTCAAGTTACTATTGTATGCTCCCCAAAATAATGTTTTTATGAATTTTATGTTTGAAATTAAGTAGTGATTACACAATGAGTTGCATGGATATGAAAATAAATACACTACGAATATTTTCTGTTATCTTGGAGGATGAGGTGGCTTTATATCTTTCATTTTTTCTCTAGCCTTTTTTTCTGCTTCTCTCATGTTATTACTGTATATCTGGATCTGTTTAGTGAAGATCTCTCCAAGCTGGCCACAGTTGCTCTTGGTGGCAGCCCCCAGGTTCCTCTCGATCTGCACCAACAACTTGTACTGGATGTCGTCTCCAAGACGGTGCTGCAACAATGAGAGAGTGAGTGAGTGAGTGACTTTACTGCTAGTAACGAGGTTGTTATTCAGCCAGTGGACACAGATGTTTACAGATGTTTACGGTGATGTCAATACCTCTAGTGTACAGTACATTCTCTCTGTGCACACCCATGATAGAGTGAGTGAGTGAGTGAGTGAGTTAACTGCTAGTAACGAGGTTGTTATTCAGCCTGTGGACACAGATGTTTACAGATGTTTACGGTGATGTCAATACCACTAGTGTACAGTACATTCTCCCTGTGCACACCCAAGATAGAGTGAGTGAGTGAGTTTACTACTAGTAACGAGGTTGTTATTCAGCCTGTGGACACAGATGTTTACGGTGATGTCAATACCACTAGTGTACAGTACATTCTCCCTGTGCACACCCAAGATAGAGTGAGTGAGTGAGTTTACTGCTAGTAACGAGGTTGTTTTTCAGCCTGTGGACACAGATGTTTACGGTGATGTCAATACCTCTAGTGTACAGTACATTCTCCCTGTGCACACCCAAGATAGAGTGAGTGACTTTACTTCTAGTAACGAGGTTGTTATTCAGCCAGTGGACACAGATGTTTACAGATGTTTACGGTGATGTCAATACCTCTAGTGTACAGTACATTCTCCCTGTGCACACCCAAGATAGAGTGATTGAGTGAGTTTACTGCTAGTAACGAGGTTGTTATTCAGCCTGTGGCCACAGATGTTTACGATGATGTCAATACCTCAAGTGTACACCCATGATAGAGTGAGTGAGTGACTTTACTGCTAGTAACGAGGTTGTTATTCAGCCTGTGGACACAGATGTTTACAGATGTCTACGGTGATGTCATAACCTCTAGTGTACAGTACATTCTCCCTGTGCACACCCAAGATAGAGTGAGTGAGTGAGTTTACTGCTAGTAACGAGGTTGTTATTCAGCCTGTGGACACAGATGTTTACAGATGTTTACGGTGATGTCAATACCACTAGTGTACAGTACATTCTCCCTGTGCACACCCATGATAGAGTGAGTGAGTGACTTTACTGCTAGTAACGAGGTTGTTATTCAGCCTGTGGACACAGATGTTTACAGATGTCTACGGTGATGTCATAACCTCTAGTGTACAGTACATTCTCCCTGTGCACACCCAAGATAGAGTGAGTGAGTGAGTTTACTGCTAGTAACGAGGTTGTTATTCAGCCTGTGGACACAGATGTTTACAGATGTTTATGGTGATGTCAATACCTCTAGTGTACAGTACATTCTCCCTGTGCACACCCAAGATAGAGTGAGTGAGTGAGTTTACTGCTAGTAACGAGGTTGTTATTCAGCCTGTGGACACAGATGTTTACAGATGTTTACGGTGATGTCAATACCACTAGTGTACAGTTCATTCTCCCTTTGCATTCAGGGGAGCCTACCAATTATGGTAGAGTGAGTGAACGAACAAACGAACGATCGAACGGATGAATGATCGAACGAACGAACAAACGAACGAACGAACGAACAAACGAACGCAGTTTCATCTTGCTGTGTCCAGACTTTTACTAAGATTGTGGCGTGATGCAGGTCTCCGATGTTTACCAGTTGGTTGAGTCTCACTGACATGGGTAGGTGGCTGACAAAACTAGAAACACGATCACGGTAATCAGAGAACTATGATCACAGGGTTACATGTGCCAATATCTTTAATGCTGCAAGCAGGAATGTTCCAGCTACTCCTTAGTAGGGCTGCACAATATGACCGGTTTACCAGTATTTATCGGTTCAGACATGAACACGATATGTATTGCGATATGCTGATCAAAAACCGGTATGTGGACATGCTTTCGGAAAACTTCGTAACACTCGGAAATCTTCGGATATTTCCGTACTTTAAATCGTTCCTTTCCTTGTTTCATTTGTGCTAAATATTATTTACATTTTTATATTACATTAAAACTTTTTATCAAAGCCTAGTCTAGCATAATGATTTTGTTGTGTTTTTGCTTCATAAGTCAAGCATTAACTCGATCATAAGTAGTTTTTGTTAAAAAAACTTCTTGCAATATATTGCAATACATATCGCAATATATGCTTTCGCATCACAATATGAAAATTCTCTGCAATACCCACCCCTACTCTTTAGTCATTGATCAAAGTTACAAGTTTTGTTCGTTGGTTTGTTGTTTAACAGTGCAGCTTGTAAATAATCAAGTCTGGACCAGACAATCCCGTGACTGACATCATGAGCATTGATCTACAGGATTAGGATACCATGAAGTGTCAGCCATGTCAATGAACCAGATCACCTGATCCTGTTGGTCCCCACTGGCAACAAGTATGGTCACAGATATATATGTCGTTAAGGTTTGAGATTCACCAAGGATGAGTGAGTGAGTTTTACACTGCACTCAGCAATATTCCAGCTATATGGCAGAGGACTGTAAATAATCAGGTCTGGGCCAGACAATCCAGTGATCACCATCATGAGCATCGATCTACACAATTGGGAAATTAGATGACATGTGTCAGCCAAGTCGGCGAACCTGACCACCCGATCCCGTTAGTCACCTCTTACGACAAGCATGGGTTACTGAAGATCAATTCTACCCCTGATCTTCACGGGTCACACAAATGATGAGTATGATGAAAGCACATGTGTATAGGTGTGTTCTTTAATGCCGCACTAATGAATGTTCGAACAATTAGACAGCACTCTGTATTTAATCAATTCTGTACAACAATCTAGATGCTAAGATCACAAGCAAATTTCCTTGATGTTTGGGTATAGTGACACATGATCCACAAGGTCACGAAGCCTAACCACCTGACCCATGAATTAGCAAGAGACTTACTGTCACCCAGAATCCACATGCTTTAAAAAATATAAAAACACAATGTGGAAGGGACTTATGTTAATGCTTAGAGTTATCTTTGTTTCCACATAACCGCATGGGGACGACTAACGAATGACTACACACAATGATCAGGGTTTTACTTCAGGACAGCCATAAGCTGACACATCAAAGTTTGACACAATTGTGTTTAACTGTGTATACACAGATAAAATAGACCAATATTTAGAAAAATGATTTTCAGATTATGAAAATTTAAATAACATAAGATAGAGCTGCAAAATATCAGATAGCATAACTAAGAAATATTCTTCACCAGAACTGGATCCTTGGAAGCTAAAAATCATTTCTGAAATCTATAACTATTTAGAGTAATACAGAGACAGTATGGATCCAAATACCTACCTCTTTGAAGGCATCATATGTTGCCTTGAAGGCTGGCTGTTTCTCATTCATAAAAAACCCTCCGACTGCCATGCAAGATGTAGGCACCATTGGTTTGGGCAGCTTGGCAGACACTCATATACATGCAGTGGTCTGCCCGATAGTTCCAGTCACACCCGAACACATACAGCTGCTCTGGAAGCAATTATACTAAACGTCAATTGAGACAGTGTCACCCTTTTATATCTCATGATTTACAGATGGTGTGCTTAACAAAGATGAGTGAGTGAGTGAGTTGGGTTTTAAGCCGCATTTAGCAATATTCGAGTGAGTGAGTGAGTGAGTTTAGTTTTTATTACAGCTATATGGCGGCGGTCTGTAAATAATCGAGTCTGGACCAGACAATCCAGTGATCAACAGTAAGGGCATTGATCTGCGTAATTGGGAACCGATGACATGTGTCAACCACGTCAGCGAGCCTGACCACCCGATCCTGTTAGTCGCCTCTTACGACAAGCATAGTCGCCTTTTTGTGGCAAGCATGGGTTGCTGAAGACCTATTCTACCCCGGATCTTCACGGATAGCAATATTCCAGCAATATCATGGCCTGGTAAACAAAGTTGAAATAAACATAGCACTTGATTGGACAGCATAGTTTTACTAGTATATCATAATACACTTTCAAACAATACACAGTGCAATAAATATCTTGACATAATATTTATTACATAATTGGGATGTAATGAAAGTAGGTGCTGTTGATGTGGTCATGACTAAGAAGGTCACAATATATATCTGACATAATATTTTATTACATACTTGGGATGTAATGTAAGTAGGCGTTGATGTGGTCATGACTAAGAAGGTCACAATATATATCTTGACATAATATTGATTACATACTTGGGATGCTTTTAGCAATATTCCAGTAATATCATGGTGGGGGACACCAGAAATGGGCTTCACACATTATGCCCATGTGGGGAACTGAACCCGGGTCTTCGGCATGACGAGCCAACACTTTAACCACTAGGCCAGCCCACCGCCCCGGGATGTAATGAAAGTAGGCATTGATGTGGTCATGACTAAGAAGGTCACAATATATATCTTGACATAATATTTATTACATACTTGGGATGTAATGAAAGTAGGCGTTGATGTGGTCATGACTAAGAACTTCACAATATATATCTTGACATAATATTTATTACATACTTGGGATGTAATGAAAGTAGGCGTTGATGTGGTCATGACTAAGAAGGTCACAATATATATCTTGACATAATATTTATTACATACTTGGGATGTAATGAAAGTAGGTGTTGATGTGGTCATGACTAAGAAGGTGAGTGAGTGAGTGAATGAGTGAGTGAGTTTAGTTTTTATTACAGCTATATGGCGGCGGTCTGTAAATAATCGAGTCTGGACCAGACAATCCAGTGATCAACAGTAAGGGCATTGATCTGCGTAATTGGGAACCGATGACATGTGTCAACCACGTCAGCGAGCCTGACCACCCGATCCTGTTAGTCGCCTCTTACGACAAGCATAGTCGCCTTTTGTGGCAAGCATGGGTTGCTGAAGACCTATTCTACCCCGGATCTTCACGGATAGCAATATTCCAGCAATATCATGGCCTGGTAAACAAAGTTGAAATAAACATAGCACTTGATTGGACAGCATAGTTTTACTAGTATATCATAATACACTTTCAAACAATACACAGTGCAATAAATATCTTGACATAATATTTATTACATAATTGGGATGTAATGAAAGTAGGTGCTGTTGATGTGGTCATGACTAAGAAGGTCACAATATATATCTGGACATAATATTTTATTACATACTTGGGATGTAATGTAAGTAGGCGTTGATGTGGTCATGACTAAGAAGGTCACAATATATATCTTGACATAATATTGATTACATACTTGGGATGCTTTTAGCAATATTCCAGTAATATCATGGTGGGGGACACCAGAAATGGGCTTCACACATTATGCCCATGTGGGGAACTGAACCCGGGTCTTCGGCATGACGAGCCAACACTTTAACCACTAGGCCAGCCCACCGCCCCGGGATGTAATGAAAGTAGGCATTGATGTGGTCATGACTAAGAAGGTCACAATATATATCTTGACATAATATTTATTACATACTTGGGATGTAATGAAAGTAGGCGTTGATGTGGTCATGACTAAGAACTTCACAATATATATCTTGACATAATATTTATTACATACTTGGGATGTAATGAAAGTAGGCGTTGATGTGGTCATGACTAAGAAGGTCACAATATATATCTTGACATAATATTTATTACATACTTGGGATGTAATGAAAGTAGGTGTTGATGTGGTCATGACTAAGAAGGTGAGTGAGTGAGTGAATGAGTGAGTGAGTTTAGTTTTTATTACAGCTATATGGCGGCGGTCTGTAAATAATCGAGTCTGGACCAGACAATCCAGTGATCAACAGTAAGGGCATTGATCTGCGAATTGGGAACCGATGACATGTGTCAACCAAGTCATGAGCCTGACCACCCGATCCTGTTAGTCGCCTCTTACGACAAGCATAGTCGCCTTTTGTGGCAAGCATGGGTTGCTGAAGACCTATTCTACCCCGGATCTTCACGGATAGCAATATTCCAGCAATATCATGGCCTGGTAAACAAAGTTGAAATAAACATAGCACTTGATTGGACAGCATAGTTTTACTAGTATATCATAATACACTTTCAAACAATACACAGTGCAATAAATATCTTGACATAATATTTATTACATAATTGGGATGTAATGAAAGTAGGTGCTGTTGATGTGGTCATGACTAAGAAGGTCACAATATATATCTGGACATAATATTTTATTACATACTTGGGATGTAATGTAAGTAGGCGTTGATGTGGTCATGACTAAGAAGGTCACAATATATATCTTGACATAATATTGATTACATACTTGGGATGCTTTTAGCAATATTCCAGTAATATCATGGTGGGGGACACCAGAAATGGGCTTCACACATTATGCCCATGTGGGGAACTGAACCCGGGTCTTCGGCATGACGAGCCAACACTTTAACCACTAGGCCAGCCCACCGCCCCGGGATGTAATGAAAGTAGGCATTGATGTGGTCATGACTAAGAAGGTCACAATATATATCTTGACATAATATTTATTACATACTTGGGATGTAATGAAAGTAGTTGATGTGGTCATGACTAAGAACTTCACAATATATATCTTGACATAATATTTATTACATACTTGGGATGTAATGAAAGTAGGCGTTGATGTGGTCATGACTAAGAAGGTCACAATATATATCTTGACATAATATTTATTACATACTTGGGATGTAATGAAAGTAGGTGTTGATGTGGTCATGACTAAGAAGGTGAGTGAGTGAGTGAGTGAGTGAATGAGTGAGTGAGTTTAGTTTTTATTACAGCTATATGGCGGCGGTCTGTAAATAATCGAGTCTGGACCAGACAATCCAGTGATCAACAGTAAGGGCATTGATCTGCGTAATTGGGAACCGATGACATGTGTCAACCAAGTCAGCGAGCCTGACCACCCGATCCTGTTAGTCGCCTCTTACGACAAGCATAGTCGCCTTTTGTGGCAAGCATGGGTTGCTGAAGACCTATTCTACCCCGGATCTTCACGGATAGCAATATTCCAGCAATATCATGGCCTGGTAAACAAAGTTGAAATAAACATAGCACTTGATTGGACAGCATAGTTTTACTAGTATATCATAATACACTTTCAAACAATACACAGTGCAATAAATATCTTGACATAATATTTATTACATAATTGGGATGTAATGAAAGTAGGTGCTGTTGATGTGGTCATGACTAAGAAGGTCACAATATATATCTGGACATAATATTTTATTACATACTTGGGATGTAATGTAAGTAGGCGTTGATGTGGTCATGACTAAGAAGGTCACAATATATATCTTGACATAATATTGATTACATACTTGGGATGCTTTTAGCAATATTCCAGTAATATCATGGTGGGGGACACCAGAAATGGGCTTCACACATTATGCCCATGTGGGGAACTGAACCCGGGTCTTCGGCATGACGAGCCAACACTTTAACCACTAGGCCAGCCCACCGCCCCGGGATGTAATGAAAGTAGGCATTGATGTGGTCATGACTAAGAAGGTCACAATATATATCTTGACATAATATTTATTACATACTTGGGATGTAATGAAAGTAGGCGTTGATGTGGTCATGACTAAGAACTTCACAATATATATCTTGACATAATATTTATTACATACTTGGGATGTAATGAAAGTAGGCGTTGATGTGGTCATGACTAAGAAGGTCACAATATATATCTTGACATAATATTTATTACATACTTGGGATGTAATGAAAGTAGGTGTTGATGTGGTCATGACTAAGAAGGTGAGTGAGTGAGTGAGTGAGTGAGTGAATGAGTGAGTGAGTTTAGTTTTTATTACAGCTATATGGCGGCGGTCTGTAAATAATCGAGTCTGGACCAGACAATCCAGTGATCAACAGTAAGGGCATTGATCTGCGTAATTGGGAACCGATGACATGTGTCAACCAAGTCAGCGAGCCTGACCACCCGATCCTGTTAGTCGCCTCTTACGACAAGCATAGTCGCCTTTTGTGGCAAGCATGGGTTGCTGAAGACCTATTCTACCCCGGATCTTCACGGATAGCAATATTCCAGCAATATCATGGCCTGGTAAACAAAGTTGAAATAAACATAGCACTTGATGGGACAGCATAGTTTTACTAGTATATCATAATACACTTTCAAACAATACACAGTGCAATAAATATCTTGACATAATATTTATTACATAATTGGGATGTAATGAAAGTAGGTGCTGTTGATGTGGTCATGACTAAGAAGGTCACAATATATATCTTGACATAATATTTTATTACATTATTCATGGTGACACCAGAAATGGGCTTCACACATTATGCCCATGTGGGGAACTGAACCCGGGTCTTCGGCATGACGAGCCAACACTTTAACCACTAGGCCAGCCCACCGCTCCGGGATGTAATGAAAGTAGGCATTGATGTGGTCATGACTAAGAAGGTCACAATATATATCTTGACATAATATTTATTACATACTTGGGATGTAATGAAAGTAGGCGTTGATGTGGTCATGACTAAGAAGGTCACAATATATATCTTGACATAATATTTATTACATACTTGGGATGAAATGAGAGTAGGTGATGATGTGGTCATGACTAAGAAGGTCACAATATATATCTTGACATAATATTTATTACATACTTGGGATGTAATGAAAGTAGGCGTGGTCATGACTAAGAAGGTCACAATATATATCTTGACATATTTATTACATACCTGTGATGCAATGAAAGTAGGCGTTAATGTGGTCATGAATAAGAAGGTCACGATATATATCTTGCTCACGAGATATATTTTGATGTAATATTTATTACTGTACAGACCTTGGAAGCAATGAGAGTAGATGTTGATAAGGTCCTGACTAGGATGGTCACAATATACTACTGGAATAAAGTAACTGTGCATTATTTGACGTTATGCCATATTTTAATCCAAAGAGATAATAACAAGATTTGTGGTGTTTTCCTTAATCCCTGTTTAACTGTTGACAGGATAACATCAAAACCTGTATAATTTGACACAAGGCATCGTGACACATCATGTTCATAAATTCAGTATCGGTGTGTCCACCCCGTTCATGCAGGCTTGACAACAACGATGCACAGATGACACTAAGCGATTGATGAAAGCTTGGGGAATGTTGTTAAATGTCTGAACCAATGATTGTCCCAAATTCAGCAACTTCAATGGCTAATTCTGGGTTTGACATGAATGTCACTCAATTTCATCTCAAGTGTGCTTAATAGCAGACAGATCTGGAGAACACCTGGCCAGAGGAGTACCAGATTGTTCTGCTGTCTCAGGAAACCCATCACAACAAGAGCAAAATGTGGACGGCATTATCTTGCTAAGTATGAAGTTACGTCTCTGTCTTTGAATGAACGGCTGCACATTAGGCCCAATGATCTCATCCCTGTATCACAGGCCTGTCAGATTGCCATTGACAATGACAAGTTGTGTCAGGCCATGAGACGTGACGCCTCCCCATACTATAACGGTACCACCACCAAACTGTTGACATCGAATAACGCACGCATCAGCATACCATTCACCTCGTCGTCTGTTAGATGCTGTCTGCACCAGGCAAGAAGTCTCAGTGACACTGGAGCTAAAGTGGACATATTGTAGTCCGTCAGGGTCGGATGTTGTGCTCCCTCAGTCAGTTCTGTACAGTCCTGTTGTACAGACCGAGCAGTCAAACTGGCAGTTTGGAATCAGTTTCTTAGTTGGGTCAGCCGAATGTGGTTGTCTTGCTGACGTGACGTCATGTGTGGACAGCCGGTCCGAGGCAAATGTCTTCTATTCCCATTATGTTGAAAATGTCTCCATAGATATGAGATCGTGTTTCAATGGACACCAAAATGCATGGCCACTATATTTTGTGCCATTTCAGTATCCAGTATACCCATGGCATGGAGACGCTGATTTTCTGCAAGCTGTGGCATAATGCACGTGCAGTTTAGGTTGAAATTTACATGTTTTCCACAACATTCACAGGCTAGGGAATAATCAGCCATTCTTCAATTTTCAAGATGAAGTGTGTGAACTTCAGGTATAAAAAAACATGCAAAAAGGGAGTAAGTTCGTTGTTCACAAAGTGCATATGCCATGCGCGATAGGTGACATCAAATTTCTAGCAAAGTGCTTTGCTACATGTTTATTTAGGGTTATTTTTATGACTTTTATTTTATGCATTTTTAAGTTATGCACAGTTCCTTTTTTCCATTAGTATAATGGGATATGATATTCAATACATACCGGGGAAGTAATGAAAGTAGATGTTGATGAGGTCCTGATCACCAAAAGTTATTTTTAGTTTATATTCTTTGTAATACTCTATCATGGACGGCAGCCACATTGATTCTCGGAGACGAGTCAGGTTCATCAACATCACACCAGAATTAACTCCTGAAATATGAAGATATTAATTAATAAACTGATATATCTGTGAAGTTCATAGACTCAACAGGTTCAATGCTTCCACAGCTATTTCAATTCTGATCAATGATCATACATGACAGTTTAATGTCTTCTTACAGCAGGGTGCTTGAAGGAGTGAGTTGGGTTTTACGCCGCTTTTAGCAATATTCCAGCAATATCACTGTTGATGCAGAAAAATGTTCACTTCAATTAGTTTATAATTTCATGCACTAAAGATATTTGTTGTCAAAAGGTTATATTTTTATGTTGCAAAGTAGAAAGTGCTAAAATAGTGTAGTAATTTTCATTGTAAAATTTAGTTCAGATGAGGTTCAGAAAGTCTAGTTTGGCTATAACTGTTATTAGTTTTCCAAAAAAGTATTATCATGATTGTCATAACAGATTACTTCCCCTTATTGTTAGTGTTGCTCCTCATCAGAGCACATGGCTTGTCACTGCGTCCATGTTGGAGACATCAGCTGTTGTAGTTAGCATGAACACAAATTTTTCTGAACCTCACCAAGCCAAAGAAAAAAGTGAAAGTGAAATTGAACGTATAACTGAATAAACTTTTGGTGCGAGTAAAGAATTTTTGTGTCTTGCATCCACAATCACGGCAGAGGACACCAGAACAGGATGCTTGAGACGTCCCCCCAGAAAACCATTATTTCACATGCTTTATCTCAACATGTTGCTTTAATGTGAGACTATAACCCAAAGCAATGCACAACCCATTACCACTGGTTTGGTGTTGACAATCCTTTTATCAAACTCTAGGCATCTTGGACACAATCACCAACACAGCCTCAAGAAGACGGGTTCGAATCCCCACATGGGCACAATGTGTGAAGCCCATTTCTGGTGTCCCCCGCCGTGATATTGCTGGAATATTGCTAAAAGCGGCGTAAAACCATACTCACTCACTCAAGAAGACTTATTCTAAACCCATGAAGACCTGGGTTAGAACTGATGTTCAGTAAGCCACAGTTGTAAGAGGATCAGGTGGTCAGGCTCGCGGACTTGGTTGACACATGTCATCGTATCCCAATTGCGTAGATCGATGCTAATGCGACTGTCTGGTCCAGACTCGATTATTTACAGACCGCTGTCATACAGCTGCAATATTGCTGAGTGCGGTGTAAAACTAAACTCACTCACTAACTGTTTTTCTGTGTTAAGTGATGCAGTTGTAACACTCAAACTGGTCAACTGCTGTTGCTAGAAACGGATGAACAGAATAAGTGACTGGAATATGTACCTAGTTTCCCATAGTAAGGGTGCCTGGCAAAACGGTTGTACCACCCTGCTGCTGCATCCTCATGTTCTGGGGCTAGGGCTACCAGCTGGGTGGAGTTGAACAGCTTGAAGAAGCTCCAGATACCCTCCAGTGGGCTGAGGAACAAGATGTCTGTGTCTACATAGATCAAGGCATCCACATCGGTCAGCAGCGTCTGGAACAACAACATCTTACAAGGTCATACACAGTTCATCCAGCTGTCAGTGGCATGCCTTGGGAACAAAAACATCTTATAAGGTCAAATATCAACACAGTTCATCCAGCTGTCAGTGGCATGTCTTGGGAACAACATCTTACAAGGTCAAATATCAAACACAGTTCATCCAGCTGTCAGTGGTATGCCTCGGGAACAACAACTTCTTACAAGGCCAAATATCAAACACAGTTCATCCAGCTGTCAGTGGTATGCCTTGGGAACAACAACATCTTACAAGGTCAAATACAGTTCATCCAGCTGTCAGTGGTATGCCTTGGGAACAACAACACCTTACAAGGTCAAATACAGTTCATCCAGCTGTCAATGGTATGCCTTGGGAACAACAACATCTTACATTGTCAAATACAGTTCATCCAGCTGTCAGCAGTATGCCTTGGGAACAACAATATCTTACAAGGTCAAATACAGTTCATCCAGCTGTTAGCAGTATGCCTTGGGAACAACAATATCTTACAAGGTCAAACAGTTCATCCAGCTGTCAATGGCATTCCTTGGGAACAACAACACCTTACAAGGTCAAATACAGGTTATCCAGCTGTCAATGGTATGCCTTGGGAACAACAACATCTTACATTGTCAAATACAGTTCATCCAGCTGTCAGCAGTATGCCTTGGGAACAACAATATCTTACAAGGTCAAATACAGTTCATCCAGCTGTTAGCAGTATGCCTTGGGAACAACAATATCTTACAAGGTCAAACAGTTCATCCAGCTGTCAATGGCATTCCTTGGGAACAACAACATCTTACAAGGTCAAATATCAAACACAGTTCATCCAGCTGTCAGTGGTATGCCTTGGGAACAACAATATCTATGCCTTGGGATGAAATATTAATGTGAAGGCAAAATATCTTTGCAACTTGTCCGTCCTTCTATCGCCAGGGCAAGCATGTTATTAAATCTACACATAATCCATTTGTGGATCAATTCCCATGGTTCTCTCAATCTCAAATTACCTACCCTTGATTTCCAGTTGCCAGGCTGACTGGGTACACTTCCAGGTCCAATGTAGTAATAAGGGTGTAAGTTACAAACAAGCTACACTGTATGGTTGTAAATATCAACAACACAGCAGCCAGTCATATTATTATGATCGAGTTTGCAATAAATCCAATACTGAAAAACTGACACAAACTAAGCCCTAAAAAATCATTTCGACGGAAACCATGACTTTGTGTCCATTAAAACTGATGTACGCTCAGGGTTCTATGTATTATAACAGCGTATGAAACAAGCCACAAACCCAGCCAGACATCAGGATTAAATTTAGATTTAGATTTAATCAGACCAGACAATCCAAAGAAAATAACTAATGTTTTCGCTACAATGAATAATTTGATGAACCTGAGACATGTATTTACTGCATGTTTGCAGAACTCCGCTCATCGACAGGTGTTGCTGTTTTAGTGTTAAAATATGTCAACGCAGGGCTTTGAGCTTGCTATCCAGTAGCTCAATGTTCAAACAGTAATTGTCAAGTATAAATGTAACGCTCAATTTACTCAGATGTATGGAACATGTTATCTAAAGTTTTTACCAGACCTTCGGGCTGGCTAGCTGTAAATTTAGACCGTTATTCAGAAATCTAGCCAATCGGACGGGCCTTATTTCATACACTGATTATGAGTTGCCTCCCTTTCCCTAATGCTTGACTGGTATAATGTTAATGAAAATGCAAAGCAGCCAATTTTCAATCGCAAGAGCCATGGAGTTCATCCAGAGTAATTGCAGGTTAACTGAAAAGCAAGCTCTGGAGAAATAGAGGAATGGTACTTATAGTGAGTGAGTGAGTTTTACGCTGCATTTAGCAACATACATCACGGTGGGACGCCACAAATAGGCTTCACACATTGTACTCATGCCGGTGTAGCAGCCCAGAATAACCCCCCACCAGATCATACCCCAGGGTAAACTATGGGCTAGCCCAGTTTATACCCCGGGGGTATATTCTGGACCAGGCCAAAGTATACCCCTCCAGCCCAGACTATACCCCTAAAAAAATTATGTTGACAATTCACTCAATATGAGTGTGTGACTCAGGGCAATGGTCTTGGTGTCATTTTAAGGAATTTGTAGGTGCATTTTATTTACATTACTGCATAATACAAAATTTATGAAGCATTTGTTTAGTGCCTCTCTGCGATGTGATATTTTAGGACTTTCGTGTAACCCAGCCATGCTGATATATCATCAAGGTTAGTAGTTAGTTATCTGCTTTATCTGCTTTAACTAAGGTATTTTACGTGGGGAATTACACTTATTAAGAAATGAGGTGGAACCAAAAATAGAAAATTTGAGAGAAAACTGATTTGAAAAGTTAAAAAAACATATATACATATTTATAACAATTTTAAGATGGTAAAAAGTGGAATTATTCTATTATTGTTTTGGGAGATTTGATGGTCTATGGAGATCATCAAGGTGTTTGTGGAATTATTTTATACCTACCTTCTTGTTGTGACACAAATTAGTTTGACTTTTAGAGAGAAAACATATAAGTTAAAAAAATTAAACAAAACATTTTGACAAGTGTTCAACCAATCAAATGTGAAATGAGAAAGATTAAACCACATGCTACAAACACATTACATTGTAATAGAAACTCAACATTTTGGAGGTGGGTGTTGTCTTAATTAATACCCTACTCCACTGTCTAACAACTGGCTGTCTAACTAATGGGAGATAACCGGTGTGAGAAGGGGCTGGTGTGAGTAGGGGCTGGTGATAGTGTGAGTAGGGGCTGGTATTTGTTTATCAATATGAATGATGTACCCTGCCAGCTTCAGCTTGAAAACTCACACTGATTATGCTTTGTATCTGGAAAATGTATCGGACCATTTCAATGTTGTAACCAGTGTTTAATTGTGTGAGAAGTACAATAAAATTATAGTAGTATCCTTAATCACTTGTTTTCTGTAGGGGTATAATCTGGGCTGGGGGGGTATACTATGGCCTAGTTCAGAATATACCCCGGGGTATAAACTAGGCTAGCCCAGATTATACCTGGGGTATAGTCTGGGCTAGCCCAGTTTAACCCCGGGTATAGTCTGGGACAGGGGTATACTCTGGCCTGTTACACCGGGAATCGAACCTGGGTTTTCGGCGTGACGAGCGAACGCTTTAACCACTAGGCGATAGGGGTGGGTATTGCAAAGGATTTTCCTATTGAGATATATTGCGATGTGAAAACATATATTGCGATACTTATTGCAATATATTGCAAGAAGATTTTTTAACAAAAACTACTTATAAACGAGTTATTGCTTGATTTATAAAGCAAAAACACAACAAAATCAATATGCTTGACTAGGCTTTGATAAAAACTTTTAATGATGACAAAATAAATACTAGTATGCAAATAATGTTTGGCACAAATGAAACAAGGAAAGGAACGATTTAAAAAACGGAAATATCAGAAGATTTCCGAGTGTTACAAAGTTTTCCGAATGCATGTCAAAATACCGGTTTTCGCAATACGTATCGTGTTCATGTCTGAACCGGTAAATACCAGTAAACCTATGGGCACTTATAAGGCAGCCCTCAGGGTGAAGAGTGCTTCAAGAATAGTGTGTTAAGTGAGTACAAATTCATAGTGACATTGGCAATACTGCAGCCATATCACAACTAGAAACAGGTAATATGTTAACAATTGTTAACATTAGTGTAAAAAATCTCTCGACAAAGGACAGAAAAACAACTAAAATATCACAATTTGAGATATTAAACCTAGCATTCAACTTAAAATTTATATGACTATTTGGGACAATACAATATAGAAACAGGCTATACATTGCCAACAACTAAAGGTAGATCACCATACTAGGGACCATGGGGACTTTCAGTACATTTGCTACCTGCATGGACCCAAGCTGGATTTACATCATCCCTTCAGCTGTTGGCGATTGTAGTCAAATTTAGTCAAACATTAAAAGGATGCATATTCTGCAATTAAAATACGTAGAAATGTATGAAAAAAATAGTTTGCATGAAATTGAACTTACATACCCTCTCAGAGCTTCAAAGGTAACCATGAGCAGTTGTCAAGAGAAGACTCATTGTGTAAGTGTGCCAGCAAGGTGAGGTGAGGTGAAATGAGGTTTACATCATATTTAAGAATATTTTGCTCATATGACAACGTGCATGTGTGTGTATGTGTGGCTGCTTGTACTAGCCCAGATTGAAGCTGGTTTTATAGTGCTAGCCCACTGAGATACCATGCCGCAGTTATGCATGAATACCCCACTCAGACACATTATACTGACTCCAAGCCGACCAGTCCTTGTTGTACCCATTAATGCCGATAACCAGGCAGGGACCAACAAGTACCATGTTTTAACGCGGCTGGGGATCAAACCTACGACCTTCCGCTCTTTAATTCTTTTACAATGGCAGACTGAAACAAATCTGTAGGAAATAATTGTTCAACAGGTATCACTGGCTCCATACAGACTTGTATTGACTGAAGCACCCCTAGAAGGACCACACTTTGCGCTATAGCAAGATTTTGTATGACAAGAAAACATTGATGTGTCCTATTGTTGACAATTGCTGAGTAAAAAACTGAGTGCAATCAAGTTCATCAATATACTGTGTTTGAGATGCCATCTGACTATGGACGAGAAACAGTTTGTGTTGGTGCTAGCTGAAGTAAGAGTGACACTGATACTAAAAAAAAGAGCTCAAATTCATGAAAATATATTACCATGTTGACAAAAAGCTGCCAAATGAAGAACAAGAGTCATCAGAAGATGACAAGTTCCCCCAGCCCCTACAAATTTGAAAGAACCAATCATCTGACAGTTTCTTTAAATCCAACTTAATCCTTTTAAACTGTTACGTTGAAATCGTTTCCATGGAAATCATGACAAATATAAATGCCAAAAATTTGCAAATAGCAAAAACAACCACTTCAAGATCTGTTTGATATATATGCCAAGATTTGGAAATGAAGCCCACCCCTCCGTTTGAGACTGAGTCCAAATCGTTTCCATGGAAAATAAAAAATAAAAATGACAAAATTTTGCAAATAGCAAAAGGCACCACTTTGGGAGCTGTTTGATATATCTGCCAAGATCTGAAAAGTACTGAATCAGTTATTGAGTTGCGCTCCGGAAAGGAAGCCTACGCCATCCGAAATATTTCCATGGAAATCGAAGTGTCATTGAAAGATATTGATAATGTTTTTGTTATGCTCCGGACACAAAATCCACCCTATCTTGAGATTAAGTCCAAATTGTTTCCATGGAAATAAAAAAAATTAAAAATGCCAACATCTGTAAATAGCAAAAGGCAGATGAAGTATCGACTATATCCCCCTGCATTATAATCCAGGGGTATAACAACCAAACATGGTCTGTGTTATTTCCAAATGTTCATCACTCTTTTAAATAATCATGAACACACCTTAGCATGAACTACTTACTGGCAGGAAGAGTCTCTGTGAGGCACAGGGCTTGAAGAGCTGCTTCCAGTCATCAGACTTGCCTCCAGATGGGAAGCTGATGTCATAGATGAAGTAGTCCACCTTGGTCAGGAATTCAGCTGGCCAAAAGTCCAGCTGTACAAAACAAACAAGAGTTATATAATCTATGGACGAAACACTGATTCCAATTTCAGCAAGTTGTTCCATCTGCAAGTTGTTCAACGTTTACTCATGGGTTGTGTTATAACTGAAATTCTCGTCAATTCAGCATAAAACTGACACAGTCTCCATTAGTGCTGGAGCGATTCATAAACAAATCTGTCAATCAATCGCCTCACTTGCAGCAGAGATAACCGAGGGAGACTAATCAATATACATATAAAATGAAACGTTAAATTGCATTTTAGAAAGAATGTTTCTTATTGACATGTTTATTAAATCAAGATAATACACAACTGATCCAGTTTACCGGCTTGTAAAACTGCGATAACATACTTTGTGTCTCGATCATCTTGTACGTAGTATTAATCAGTGCCTGTTTCATTTGCACAATGTTCCATTATTGTCCATATGAGTTTTGTGGCGTGGTTTACAATTACAACTGATCATTGATCGATTACTGAGCTCCGATTATCGATCTGCATATCATGAGCAATAACCAGCCCCCGTTTCCATGTCATCGGGGTGTTTCTGAAGGCATAATGATTCTGAATGCCCCATATTTTGAAATATACATTTGAAGCCAAGAAACTGATAGACCCTGAGATTCATTAGCATGCAAGATTCAAGCAATGACCAATTTATTCACCTCATATTACAGACATAACTCATGTGATGCTCACCTGCTGTGGTCTAAATCTGATTCATTCCTAGTATCAATCGTGCATACATTTTGGGTGTGATTTATAAAAGTTTGATTTCCTTCAGGAAACATACAAGGGCAGATATTGAGGGTTGTACATCTTCCCAATAACGCATAATGTGCACAGTGATTGTGTGAGTTTCATTTTACACAGCTTTACGCAATAAGAGGGAGCATTTGTGTCGCCGAGCTCTGTGTTTTCCTGGCTTTCCTTTTTAGTGGATTCTTTTACATTTAGCAACATGTCACCACCCCTACTAAAGATTTAAACAGCATGTCGGGAATAAATGAAATATATCCAATTAGTTGTTCATTTTGAAACATACGTGACTGTCGCCTCAAGTGGTAAACACACCTTAAACGACAGTCAGTATGTAATTTCCATTACTGATAACCCGGTAAACAGATGTAGTATTTTGCTATGACAGACGTTTCATTTACCTTTCAAAGAAACTAAACAGGACGTTAAATAACTTTACTGTCAAGTCCAATGTGTCTGTCGCCAGTTTGTAATTTATGAAATTTGTGTCAGTTTTCTTTGGGAAATTGTTGATAGAAAGAAATTTACGTTACTGAAATGTACGATACCAGTACATTCGGATTTTCATATTCCGACGTTGCCCAGCTCAATACGACTTTTGCACACGTCACTATTTTAACCCACCACGTGTCATAGAGTCCTGAGGCGGCATATCAACAAATTAATATCTTCAGTATCGCTCAAAATATGATTATCCATTCCCCTAGGGTCAATGTACTTCTGTATCTTGGCTGTGGCTGATTGTGAACTATGGTTGACGAACTATGTATGTAAACAGATAGTGAAATGTACGTTACACTGGGTAACGTACATTTCACCAGAGTATCCAGTTATTCATGGACATTTAAAGTAAACATCAATCTCATAATCTTTAATATTATTAAATTCTTATGACGTTTAACTAGTATGAAGAATGTATTAAGCAGATATATCCATGCGTTTATTTCGCTGAAAGCTATTGATTTTTAGGCTATTTAAATTTTGGAAATCACTTTCAATAGCTACTGATACTTGCATAACCGTACCATGTTGTTGGCGTAAGTGTTTGTATGTAGCATATAAATGTAACTCCAGATACCCAGAGTGCCTTTGGGGTAAGACATGAGAATATGTAAGATGGTAACGTACATTTCAAATGTGCTTCAAGTAGATGGAGAGGATAATGAAGCGGAAATATCCTTTTTGGAGAAATGAGTTAGTGAGTGAGTCGGGTTTTAAGCCGCTTTTAGCAATATTCCAGCATTATCACGTCGGGGGACACCAGAAAAGGGCTTCACACGTTGTACCCATGTAGGGAATCAAAACCATGGTCTTCGGCGTGACGAAGGAACGCTTTAACCACAACGCCCAACCGCCCATTTTTGGAGTTAGAGATTTAAATTAATTGAAAGTGTGTTTGCTTGTTTCTTTCTCAGTCAAACCTTACTGATTGTATGGAGGATTACAATTCATAGAGCCACAGTCAAGTAGTAAAATGTGCGCTACGAATGAGAGTCACGGCAGTATGATTTAGTATCAAACTTGGAAGTGAGAGATGATTTTACCGATTTGAAAATGAAGGTTGCTTGAAACGATTTATGTCGTTTTTAAATCATCTTAATTTGTTCTGTCTGATGAAGTGAAATTTGCAGTATTTATCTGAAAATTCATAATTTCAGAACTTTGCTACAAAGGCAGTAATGTACGTTACATTTCATATACGTATATGTTCATGCAATCCTTTAAGATACGAACACATTCGAATACTTCATTTTGAAATTATTGCTTAGATGATCGTTTAATTGTCGACTTCTAGAAATGTTCTTGTCTCTAAACATGTCTATTTTGTGGACATAACATAAACCAAATGATGTAGTTTGAAATTACACTGACATGGTTTTTGGCCGAAACGATATGTCACCTTTGAAGATCTCGACTGGAACTCTTCTTTGATATTCATGACAGTTATGTATTTTCTTTAACACCGGAATATGCTCCACTATGGCAAGGAAGAAGAAAATATATCTTTAATATCTCTGTTTAATGCTAATCAACGTATCTGAGTATCGCTTTCAACGTAACGTACATTACTTAACTACATTTTTGGAAACTCGAAGCATTACTTTGAGTCGAAAAATAGTATGTTTAAAACAAAGATTACTTCACAACTCTTGTTGTATATTATGTACCTAATACTCTACTCTGAAATAATCGTATAGTTAATCAATATATATTAACTTTATTTTTTTACTTTTGATATGGTCAAATGCGCCCATTTATTGAGAATGAGTGTTTAACAATATTCCAGCAATATCACAGTGGTGACACCAGAAATGGGTTTCACACAATGTACCCATGTGGGGAATAGAATGTAGGTCTTTGGTGTGACGAGCCAACGCTTTAACCACCAGGCTACCTGTTGTAACTATGGTTAAAACATGGTCATTTTATGGATGTTTCATATATCATCATGCTTACTAAGGTTGATAGCGGAAGTTGGAATGCTTGTCTCCAAGCCACGGCTGCTGGATAGAACATCCATTGCTTTCCTATTGTTCACTGACATATTTTCTGTCAATCGTGTTTGCTTCCACTCGGACACCAAACTACCCCACCGGCCCTAGTGTGTATAGATCGATGCTCATGTTGATCACTGGATTGTCTGGCCCAGACTCAATTATTTACAGATAGCTGGAATATTGCTGAGTTTGGTGTAAAACTAAACTCACTCACTCACTTCTAATGTGTATTGGCAATGGAATCATCAGAAAAATAATCAGTAGTATATTTTATCGTTATATTGTCACAGTAGCTCCTCACATAACTTAGCCACTCTAAACCAGTGATCAAAATAATTTTCGAACTCAACCAGACAGTCGGGCAGGTGACCAATAAATGTTGCCTGCCCGTCTTGAAAGCTGCCTGCCCGCACTTTTGACTCATAATTGCATTTATCATTGTTTCAAATGTGAATTAATTCAGCAAATTAAAAACAACAAGCATGAAATTAAATACTCAGACATCCCCAGCCTGTGAAAAGATTTTAAAAGAGCCTGTTAAACTTGCAATTCTCCATATCGGTTTACATCATCAAAATTATATATTTTCTTCTCGCGTGTTATTCATACAAAGCTTCCAAAAGGGAAGTATATAAAAATATCAGCCACACAATCGAGCTTGTGGATATTTTTTTCAGGCAGCCCAACATGAAAGTTGCCAGCCTCAGCCAGCCTCAGCCAGCCTCGATCACTGCTCTAAACTCAATGCTAGAGTGTGTCTTTTGAGTAACGTCACAACTAGCAATATTCCAGTGTAATGAGAGCAGCAATTAAATAATTAAGTCCCGTGATTGATACCATGAGCAGCTTTACCTGCTGTTGAGGTACATTGTGACACCATCCAATCCATTTTGTCATCTCTTATTAGCAGCAAGTGCTGCTGTAGACCTATCCTCAACAATATTCCCCATTAAGTATTAGTGGATGACACTGCATGTGAGCATGCCTAACATACCTGATCTCTGAAGCCTTTCTGAAGCTCTGTTTCAGCAAATATGTGGAACACCAGGTGCTTGCTTGTGAATAACACAGCTGATTTTAAGAGGATGAGAGTTTCAGGTGTTCGATCACCACAGGCAACAACTGCCAGGTGGATAGAATCCTTTGGGGCAGTTTGTATGCTGAAATAAACAATCATAATGATGATTACTGTCTTCATGTGTGGGAATAAACATGAAGTGGGAATTCAAACGAAAGAGCCAAATGCACATATGCAACTAAACCTGACCTGTTTTGAATTTCTTTCATTAAAATCTAATTCTCTAATCAGATGTTATGTTTCTCAGCCAAATCATTTCAAAAAGGTGACATCTGACTGGTTGAAGACCCATTGGTGGACAACTAACATTATACATGACGAAAGGATTAATCTATGCTTGATAGGAGCTGGCATTCAGTCCCCAAGCCTGAGGAAGTGTGAGTGGGATTTGAACTATGAAGTTCCAAATTCATCTTACCCAGGAATGTAAGGATTTTGATGAAGGCGTTTAATATTTCATGAACTCAAAAGAAAATGAAAATCTCAAACGCAAAATGAATCTGCAACTGAACGTAGTCAATACGATCTGGCACAAAATCCAAATTGAATTGAAAAACTACCAGTGTTTTTTCCTAAATGTCCTGCTAGGGATTTAAAGCTTGGAATCCTAGATACTAGTATTCCCTGCACTTTTTTCTCACTCGTATACAAATGTAATTCTAGGTCCTAAAATCCTTGTTGAAAAACCAAATCAACAGTGAAGACTTACCTTGAATAAACTGGTTTTAAACCTTTGGTATTGCCATTTGTTTTTTCATTCAAGACATTGTCATTGGAATGGCCCTGGTCTCCAATGGACTTCTCAGCATGATGATGTTTGTCTGACTCAGGAATGTTTTCTGGCCTTTTCAAAGATTTGGGCCTTTTATTTGAAGTCACTTGTTCCTGTTCCACTTCCTTTACAGACTCTTTCTTCATCCTAGCATCATCTCGTTTCATTTCCTGTACCAGGTTGTCTTTGACCTCATCTTGACCTTGAATATGAAGGTCAGGGTCGGTGTGCTGTATATAGACGATAATGACAGCTACAGCTATCACAACCGTTACTCCCAACTTGAAAATCATCTTTCGACGCATCAAGCATGGTATGACTGACGGCACACTGAAGTAGCTTGTCTTCCTCATCTAAAATACCCTGTCGAGATTATCTTTATAAACTCTGCAAAAGAAATAATGCCTGGGTTTTACCTGAAATTAAAGAAATGCTTCACAGTCCAAATCTTATCAGTCTCGAAAGAAGTAGAAGATACACAGATGTTTTAAACATGCAGTGGACACTGTCTAACCTGGTATCATTCTGGACCAGAACAAATGCTGATGCAGTTGTCAGACTTTTACCATTTTGGCAAAACATTGAGCAGGGGTATGGTGTTGATAAACCCAAAAATGTAATAAGCATTAAAATCCACAATCACAGGTGTCTTGAATGCCCAAAGCAAGCATGAATTCTGCAGCACCACACTCAAATCGTGCACACCTGGGATACAATGGAACCCTGCTTATCCAAACCCCTGATATACCAGACAATATTAACATGAAATGAAACACATACTACATAAAATGGTTTAATTAACCAGGAATTTGGTTTCCTGGACAGTGAATTTCAGTTACCAACAGAGAACAATACACACTACTGTGTGCTACTACTGGACAGCAGCCGTGCTTGGTGATGTTATTTTGCCACTCATCACCTAGTGTCCCGCATCAATGGGAAGGGCATCACTAGATCACCATGATCACAGTGTTAACTTAATCCTGATAGTACATACGGATGATGCGATACATCGATACATCGATGCATCGATACTTTTTCTAAGACGATACAATTATCGATACATTCAAAACTATATCGATATTTAGTTTTGAAAGTATCGTTTTATATATGTTTATGCATCGTTTGCATTTTGCAATTGTACCATATTTTTTTTATGTTATGAAAGTTATAAATGATTATTTTTCCTGCACAAAGATGGGAAATTAGGACTTTTTAATCTCTGAGAATACTGACTGACTGACTGAGTTTGGTTTTATGCCGCTTTTAGCAATATTCCAGCAACATCACGGCGGGAAATGGGCTTAACACATTGTGCCCATGTGGGGATTCGAACCCGGGTCTTTGGCGTGACGAGCCAACGCTTTAACCATTAGGCTACCCCACCGCCCCAATCTCTGAGAATAAAAATTGTTGATCTTTTCATGGACAATTATAAAATATGAAATATTAATGTTCAGAATGTTACTAAATTGACGCAAGAAAGCAGCGAAAATAGGTATCATGATATGTATCTAATCGTGACATGGGTATCATGATACGTATCGATTCATGAAACTTATGTATCGTGACATCCCTAATTGTAATATTACACATACTGGTTATAAAAAGTATTCAAACTAAAACTAATGGTTCGTATAACCCTGTTACTGTATTGTTATAACAGCTATTCCTTCATGCTGTCAAATGTCATTATGCATATTGGAGATATCACCCACAAAAAAAAGACCTAAGGTGACAGATCTTCTTCCAAAGCAGGACCCATATAGTGGAGTGAGTGGATGAGTTTAGTTTTATGATGCTTTAAGCAATATTCCAGCAATATCATTGTGCCCATGTGGGGAATCGAACCCAGGTCTCCAACCTGACGAGCGAACACCTTAACCACTAGGCTACCCCACCGCCCCCCATATTGTGCACCAATCTCCCAAACAACATCCAGGACATATGCAAACTCGTTGGAGTTGGAACTCTGTCTTGAGTATTGTGACACAAGCTCTTAAAGTTTCACAGTCAGTTAGATCAATTCTAACTCAGATCTTCATGGGTACCATCAGTGTGAGTCAGTGAGTGGGTGATTACCTGTGTGAGTGAGGTTCAGAGCTGCTTTGAACAGAGTTTCAGTAACATCATTGTATGTCAGCTTGTTGTGGAGGAAAGTCTGAAGCGATGCAGCTGAGAATCTTTTCCCACTTTGGTACAACATCCATGAATGGGTTTGGTGCTGACAAGCTTACATACATCAGGGTATTACCAGGTTAACCACCCATGATGATAGGGTTCTGGCATACCTAAGGGACACAACTCTGCAAGGTGGAGTGCACCACATTATACCACTTGGGAACCTGTGTACCACTTCTCAATCACCACATTATGAAACAAGATATATTCACACTATTTTCACCTGTCTGACAACTCTTGAATAAAACATTCAAGAGGCAGCCATTCACACTCAATAGGCAAAAAGAACATTGACAATAAATTACTTTTTCATTACACATTGTAGTTGCACTGTGAAAATACATTTCATTCAAAACACAAAACACTTTACAATCATTCAAACAATTTACAGTTAGGATTATCACTAGTACTGATGCAGTTGTACAATTACACATAGGTTCATACCTGTTTTACTAGTCTTAACTCGTTCAAAATGTATTTTGGAGGGCGTATCGCCCAAAAACAACACTAATCCCACTTATATATTTGTAATTACTCAATACATGTATTACATGATCACAAGTATTCCCGATCAGTTCATGTTTATGCAGCGAACATTTTCCCTTGGAAACACGTTCGTCTTTTGCCAGATAATCTTCAAACAACACATACTAGTTCACCCATACACTATTTTTTTCATTGATGGATGTGCCCCTATTTCACTGATAGTGATACTGTAATAGATCTAGTCAGCAGACAAAGTATCGTGCTTGTTATCATAATGGTAGAAATATGGAGCATTTCAACATACCGCCATGTCGATTTTCCATCCCCATCGTACGAATACCAAAGATGTCGTCTACCTGTGACCAGCTCTGGGCTGGAGACAGATGTGTTTTCACAGATGACACCCAGGATTCGCGGATTGACACAGGAAGTTTACTTTTGTTGTACGTGCTGAACGAGAGTTACGCCCCTTGATCCGAAGCGCACCTGTTTTTGGTCATTTTATGCACGCGTCTTTTAGGTTTTTGGATCAAGACTACTGACATGTATTATGGGGATCAAAGGTAAGATTACATTAGGTACGATAGTTCTTTTCGAATACTTAGTTTTGTAAGTACATTTTGTAAACTTTCAACTTTTTGAAATTTTTAACTGACAATAATTTGTGTCATTAAATAAATGATAAGATAAGTAACACGTATGAGTTACGCCCCTTTGAATGTGGGACGTCGTCTGCTACAACAAGTTTTCGAATTCCCAGCTGAGCAACACCGTTCTTGAACAAGGGTGGTAAGTCTGTACGTATTCGTCATATATAAAATGAGATTACTGCAGTGGTACTATTCGACATATTCTAATAGCTCTGTTCTTACCCCTAACTCTCCGACCAACCACTCATCTTTCTTTGTATTTTTTCAGACATTAGGAAAACGGATCATATTTAACAATGAACATTATGAAAGGTTGGCAAAAATTACTGTGAGAACGGAAAAAGAACGGAACCTAGTAATTTTTATTATGAGATAAATTAAGAGGGACTATGTACAGACGGGAGGTGCTTTTTGCTTGATTGGCATAACTGGCACTCAAGAGGAATTTTATTGTTGCGATCTATCAACATTCTATCTATCTCTTTTTCAGTATCCACTCCCCTCAAACCCCACACTCCTCTCCGCCTCAGACTGTACCCTCTCTGTTTGTCACTTCCCCCTCCGTCTGTCAGTGTTCCCCTTCCGTCTCTGACTATTATTACTCCTCCGTCTTTGACTTTTCCCCCTCCATCTGTCAGTGCTCCCCCTCTATCCCTGACCGTTCTCCCTCCGTATCTGACTGTTCCCCCTCTATCTGTCAGTGTTCCCCCTCTGTCTCTGACCGCTCCCCCTCTGTCTCTGACCGTTCCCCCTTCGTCTCAGACTGTCCCCCCTCAGCCTGTCAGTGCCCCCCTCCGTCTCTGACTGAGACAAAAGTATTCAATTCCTACATTTGTTTGTCCACGGATGGAAGATACCACGTCATTTTTCATGATCCGGTTTACAGTCATCAGTGTATTACTTTTTAAAAGGCAAAATCCCAAATAGTCTTCACGACGATGTACATCCGTAGACAGTTCACAAGCCAAAAAGGGGGGACACAGTCACATTCCAATAATACCAGTAAGCTCTCAACACTTTCAAACAAATAAACCAATTGTTTTCTCAAAATCAAAATGATTTTGATCATTCTGTTGTTGTCCCAATTAAGTCTGCATTATCATCTGAAACGTACAAACAAAATAGAAATACCAGTAAAGGAAATGTATATTGTGTGTATAATATGTATACATTAAGGAATCAGGGGGATTTATTTTGATGTAGGTGTCATGCAGGATTGTGTATGACGAACATTAAAATATAATTTTCAGACGTTCGTCAAGTTATGTCAAATACAACATGGTGTATTCCCAACACACCCGACAGCCAAGAGCTCTCTGTTAGCAACGCTACGTGCCGGATCAGTTACATGACATCTGATAAACCAAGAGGGCTCAGAGCTTGAAAAGGAACAGCTAACACTAGATCTCTGACTGCGAAATTCGACGAGTTTCCATGGCTAGTTATTAGTGTTGGGGTTTGAGAGACCAGTTTCAGTGGAAGGATGGGGTAGTTTTGTGGTTAAAGCGTTCGCTCGTCACGCCGAACACCCGGGTTCGATTCCCCACATGGGCTTAATGTGGCTTAATGTTAAGTCCATTTATGAAGTCCCCCTCCGTGATATTGCTGGATATTGCCAATAGCTATGGTGGCTGATTAGGGCCATCGCTTTCTCGCCTTAAAATTCGGAGGCGAGAAAGCGAGAAAGCGATATCACGAGACGAGAAAGCGATAACACGAGACGAGAAAGCGATAGCACGAGACGAGAAAGCGATAGCACGAGACGAGAAAGCGATAGCGCGAGACGAGAAAGCGATAACGCGAGACGAGAAAGCGATAACACGAGACGAGAAAGCGATAGCACGAGACGAGAAAGCGATACCATTACGCGAGAAAGCGATAAAGCGAGAAAGCGATAAAGCGAGAAAGCGATAGAGCGAGAAAGCGATAGAGCGAGAAAGCGATATTACCTACAATTCAGTGCTGTCTGCGCATGATCGACTGCAAACGGGATCTCAGTCGCCATCGTAATTTCTGGATAGTATTAAATGGTTTTCAGTAATGTTCTTGCCCACGAATGGCGGTGTATGACTAGACTTTTAGAAAATATCTTATAGAGATGTAGACTTTCCTTTGACATGCAATTTGCACGTATGCAATAGTCATATCGTGAAATAACGGAAACGTTCATTTTGTGATGTGACTTAAGGAATTATATATTTTTTGACATAACTGGATTCGAATTGTCTTAACCAACTTAATCACACCAACCAATTGAATTGTTTCTTTGATGGGCATTTTAGATTTTGAGTTGATGAAGAATAATGACAATTATATTGGATATACAACTTCTTTTATTCTGTGGAGGCGACGTTTCGACATAGATTCTAATGTCGTTGTCAAGCAAGTGATACATGAGTAACAAATTGAGAGAATATATACATGAGTTGTTATTACGGTAGATAGGGATGAGTTGTTTATACATTAAATGAGGTTGATGTACAACGCTTGTAGAAGAGATTGAGTAAGTTGATTGGAAGCTAGAAGGGTGATATACAAGGACTGAATTAGAATTTATAGGAGGCCAGGTTGATGTATATACAAAGATGGGTTTGATGTACATAGTTGAATTGAAACAGATAATGTACACAAGAAATATTATTGATTACTTTATCAAGTAATAATAGGCATTGGGAATGTAGTATCCTTCATCTCTGTTGAGAGCGGATCATATCTTCTTGATGTGTACTGCTCCCAAAAGTTTCCGAATTTTCTAGTCTGACTGGTTCTTTTTTATGGTTTTCTTTGAATTATGATGTTGTGTGAGAAATGTGTCGGAAGTGCCAGATGAACGGGAGGGACCTATGACAAATAAGGCATTGTGACGAGTATATTTTCATGTCAATTTCCACCATGAGTGGCCAGCACTAAGACAATCAACCACATCCAAACCAGCATCCTAAAATAAAATCACCGAGTGAGTGTGTGAATTGAAATATATGTCGCCTAAGAGCAATATTCATGTTTTAGGTTCATTGTTGATGGTTTTGTGACGCCATATTGTACGCCATCAGTTCAATTCCAACTTAATGGAATGGTGAGTTACACTTACATTTCAAACAAATTGGAGCTTGCGTTTCTTTTGCAGCTCAGTTTATTACATATACATCACATTCAGAGAGTTTTGAAGTATGTGACACTATAAATGAGCTGTATGTAGACGATTCAAAAATAATTATCAGTTCTCGCTGTTTGGTTATAGGTGGAGGAATTAGAAAATGAGGCATGGGAACTTAACCGTTTATGTTTATGTCACTTTATTGTATTTCAGGGTGATCAAAATACAGCTGTAGTTTCTTTGAATTAATAAAAACGATGAAATTTATTAACTGAAGAACTTCACCTACATGAACCCAATTCGCTCCTACCCAAAGATAGAGGAGACGCACGTGACAGTAAAGCACCTTGGTACCTCAATGTAGTAACAGAACCATTCCACAGTCAATGGTGTAATCTAAGCAAATAAAAGGATGCAGTCAAACGTTCGTCTAATCAAAGCTGAAAATAGTACGCAGTTAAACGCTGGTCTAGCCATATATAGTGAACTTCTTTGGATGGCATTTAGAAGTTGGTGTGCTTAACAACGGGGAAAGTTATATGGATATACAACGCCTTTATTATAATGTAAGAGACATTTTGGTCCGCCAATTTCAAACCTGTTCTGCCATCAAAATATCTATCAAAACCCATCTTTTCCGCCATGTTTTCTTCTGACAAAAGTTAGATAATAGACATGTTATACCAACAACTGGTTTTCTACAATATATTATTACCCTCCGCCGCTATTTTGACTGTATGTAATAATTGATGTGTGTGATATGTACTCTTATACCACCATTGGTGGTCTATTGAGAATAAAAGTAAAGTAAAGGCTACAGCTGGACGTGGTCGCATAGGTTTTGAAAAGCTGATTAGTGTATCCAGTTAATCCTTCGTAACATTTTCGTTTCCAGAGGAGGACTTGAAACTCGTTCAATATATGGAACTATCTACCTGTATCATCTTGTTTATAACCTGGTCAACTCATGTCAAAACGATTCAAATCAAATAGAGCAATAGGTGGCATTCACTGGGATGCAGACAAATAAACCCTCCTACACATCTACAAAACATTTATCTTGTACACACAGGAGTGAGTCGCTCCCGTCCTTCTCTATCCCCAACGAAACTCCTTACAATATATTAAAAAGCCACAGGTGCAAAGACTAGTACCTACTACCTATTACTTACTAGAAGAAACCAAATGACTCAATAACTACCAGACTGGGTCAGAAAATAAAATATCAGAATATATGCAGAATAAACCCTTTAAAACATCCCTATCCAGCCACACATTACAGTGTAAACTCGATTATCCAGACTAACTCACAATGTCAAGGCCACGCACCACACGTTTCACAACCAAAACATAAACACCGTACCCTGGCTCCCAGCCCTACTTTTAACATTTAACCCCAATTCATCTATTTAGTAGACTCCTTATGAGCTTATCAGCAACAGTTTAACTGTTCTGCACAATAAGTCACAATATACTTTACACCACTTACTTAGTTGAACTTATAGGCAATCAACTTCCCACCTTCTTCCGTCCAACTTCTCAGCTCCCCATCTAAACTAACTTATTTTCAATATACAGGTGTTTATCATATAGTGCTTTATTCCCCAAGCAATAATTTTATTACGTTTTGGTTAAACACACCTACCACGTCGGTCGATGAATTGTGGCACTGTCTCAAGTCGATAGTTGGGAGTTCGGGG